TATAATTTAGAGTAACCTATTGTATTAGTCTGGGTATACTAGAGAAAAAAATTCATGACACTTGCATGTATTAAAAAAAAGCTTTATATCAAAGAGCAATTGTATGTTGAGAAACATTCCAATCCAGATCAAGTCCTTAGGTCCAGTATTATCCCATATGTGCAGTACTAGTTCATAAATTCCCTTTTTAATCTTGCACAGACATGCAATAATGCCGAATGCAGGAAGATCACAGGCCAGTGGGTGGAAAGTGTTGTAGATCCAGTGGTGGTGGAAGCATCTCAGCTCTGATGTGGGGCTGCACGTGGCTCCTCCAGCTCCAGGACTCTGTGTGCCTCCACGTGGCTTGTCAACAGGAATGTCAAGCAGAGTATATATGTGTCTCGCCTTCAGCAAGCTATTTATCTCCTTAGTGCCCCCAAATGACCTTATTGACAGGCTAAATTCCACCCTTTCACTCTTGGTAGTTTCAAGTTGGCAACCGATTATGTAACTGCCACACTTACAGACCAAATTGCCCTGTGTCACATGAACTTAGTTGCTTAGTCCCATAAAGCAAGGTCATTTTCTTGAATAATCAAAATTGTTCTTTGGTTCCGTAAAGTCAGATTCAACTCAGATTCCACATGTAATATAAAGAGACACCACCAAGTTCTGCCTTGTGCTCCCAATCGTTGCTGTGTTTGAGCCAATTATTGCTTCCATGGTGTCAATTCTTGTTGATCAACGGTATAGCTGTAAAAAATCTGTAAATTATTTATACTGTATACAGCATATATAATGTATACACTAATCAGATTTCACCATCGTTTCAATAATGTCAAGGATACTTTTTTTCCGGGGGGGAGAGGTGTCTTGTCAGACTTAAATACTAAAGGGCCAAAGCCAAACCCAACCCATTGTCATCAAGTTAATTAAGACTCATAGCAGCCATATGGGGGAGTCTGAGGTTTTAAAAATCTTCATAGGCACAGGTAGCCAATTGCAGCACCCACGTTGAATTTAGTAGTCCAGTACTTACCCGAAAGCGCCAATGTGGCTCCGTAATGAAGAGCAGTGTCACATAAATAAGCAAACCCATGGATTGGAACCAGACCATTTATAAAGAGCGTCTGCTTGCTTGGTATTACTGGCGTCATGAACTAAATGCACTCTACAAAGCTAGAGTAATCATGCCAATGTGATAATACTTCAGGACAGCCATAGACCAGTGGAATAGAATTGAGAAACTTACACATCTGTGGCAAATTGATTTTCCATAAGGGTGCCAAATCAGTTCAGTGTAGCAAGGAATAGTGTCTTCATTAATTGATGAAGAAGCTGTATGCAACCCTCATATTATAATGAAAGTTAAAATGAATTGGTGACTTAAATGTAAGAACTAAAATCACACAAAAACTCTTAGAAGAAAACATAGAAAGACAGGTTCAGGGTCTTTTCGGGTAATGGATTTTGAGGTATGACTCCAAAAGGAATGAGCAACAAAAAAGGAGACTGGACTTTATCTAAACTGAAATATTTTGTATGTTAAAGGACATTATCTAAAAAGTGGAAGGCACTTGGAGATAATATTTGGAAACTGAAGCTCAGTTAGGAGTCTCGGTGGTGTAATGGGTTATATGTCAGAATGTTAACCCCAAGGAAAACCATTTGAACCTACTAGCTGATTCACGGGATAAGAGGTTTTCTGCTCCCGTAGAGATTTATAGCCTTGGAAAACCAAAGGGCAGTTCTATGTCTTACAGGGTCCCTGAATCAAGATTAATTGAGTGGCAGTGAGTTTAATATTCAGTGTAATAATTGAATATCCAGAATCGATGTTCTTGTTGTTAATACCCTAATTTAGTGCCCTTAGGTAGTGCTTCTATGTAAAACAGAATGAAGCACAGTGAGGGGCCTGCATCATGCTCACAATTGCTCCCATGTTTGAGCCCATTGTTGCATCCACTGTGTCTGTTTTGTTGAAGATATTCTTTTTTTGCTGCCCCTCTACCAAGCATAAAGTCTTTTTCTAGGGACTGGTATCTCTTGACATGTCCAAAGGACACGCTCTTCCAAGGAACATTCTGGCTATATTTGTTCCAAGACAGATTTGTTTTGGCAGTCCATGCATGGTACTTTGTTGAACGTTCTTCGCCAGCATTGTAATTCAAACAAATTGATTTTTCTTCATTGTTCTTTATTCAGTATCTAAGTTTCACATGCTTATGAGGCAGTCGAAAACACTATGGCTTGGGTCAAGTGTACCTTAGTCTTCAAATACCATCCTGGTGTTTCAGTCCAGCAGATTCACCGAGTGCAATGCATCATTTGATTTTTTGACTCCTGCTTCCGTGTGCGTTGGTTGTGGATCCACACAGGACAAAATTCTTGCAAGCTTCAATCATTTCTCCATTTATCATGATGTTTCTTATTGATTCAGTTGTGAGGATTTTGGTTCTTTTTACATAGAGTTGTAATCTACACTGAAGGCTGCAATCTTTGATCTTATCAGTAAGGGCTTCAAGTCCTCATTTTCAGCCTGCAAGATTATGTCATCTAAATACCACAGGTTGTTAATAAGCCTTCCACCAACTCTCTTGCCACAGTCTTTATATAATCCAGCATCTGGTTATTTGCTCAGCACACAGATTGAATAACTATAGTGAGAGGTTGCAACCTTGGTGCACACCTTTCCTCCTTTTTAAACCATGTGTTGTTCTCTTGTTTTGTTCTCTTAACTGCCTCTTGATCCATGTGTAAGTGCTGCATGAACACAATCGAGTGTTCTGGAATTCCTATTCTTCTCAAGGCTAACCATAATTTGTTATAGTCCAGTAAAATATAAGTAAACATTTTTCTGTATTTGCTTTCAGCCAAGATCTATCTTTTTTTGGGGGGGTGGGGGGGTTGCCTCTTACAGCTCTTATCACAATCCATACATATATCCATTGTCAAAACACATCTGTACATATGTTGTCATCACCTTTTTCAGAACATTTTCTTTCTACTTGAACCCTTGGTATCAGCTCCTCATTCGCCCCCCCTTCCCCATGTCCCCTTGAGAATTTATAAATTTTTAAAAAATTTCTTACACTGACCACTGTCTCCCTTCACCCACTTTTCTGCTGTCCATTCCCCTGGGAGGGGGGCGCCATATGTCAGTTATTGTGATCATTTCCCCATTACTCACCCCTCCCCTTTCCCTTTCCCTCTAGTATAGCTGCTCCCCTTATTTGTCTTGAGGGGTTTATCTGTTCTGGATTCCCTGTATTGTGAGCTCTTAGCTGTACCAGTAGATATGTTCTGGGCTAGCCAGATTTGTAAGATAGAATTACAGTCATGATAGTGGGAGGGTGGTGGGAATCATTAAAGAACTAGAGGAAGAACACACACTTGTGTGTTTCTTCAGTGTTGTGCTACACCCTGATTGGCTCGTCTCTTCTTTGTGGTCCTTCTGACGGGGTATCCAGTTGACTGCTGATGGGCTTTGGGTCTCTACTTTGCCATCCCCCTCATTCCCATTGATAGGATTTGTTTTGTTTTGGGTCTTTGATACCTGATCCCATTGACACCTCATGATCACACAGGCTGGTGTGTTTCTTCCATGTGGGCTTTGTTGCTTCGCAGCTAGATGGCCGCTTGTTTTATCTTGAAGGCTTTAAGACCCCAGACGCTCTATCTTTTGATAACCGCGCACCATCACTTTCTTCACCATATTTGGTTTTGCACCCATTTGTTTTCAGCGATCTCATCAGGGAAGGTGAGCATCACTGAGTGCTGTGTTGTAGAACAAAGTGTTCTTGCGCTGAGGGGAGTACAAGCCAAAATCCATCTTAAATCAGCAATGATATCCCATGCTCCACATTCTCTTCAGAATCCACCTGAGTCTCTGGCAACTCCTGGTCAGTGTACTGTTGGAACTGTTTGTTGTTGGATGATCTTTATCAAAATTTTACTTGCATCAGATACTGTTTTATAAATTGAATATTCTGTTGGGACACCATTCTTTGGATTGAGTGAAGCTATGTATCTTCCAGTCAGCTGGCCAAGTAGCTGTCTTCCAAATTCCTGTCATAGATGAGGGAGTGTTCTCAGTGCTTCATCAGCTTGTTGAAACATTTCAATTGGTATTCCGTCAATTTCTGGAGCCCAGTTTTTGGAATGTTTTCAGTGCTATTAGTTCTTCCTTCAGTACCATTGGTTCTTATTCATATGCTACCTCCTAAGATGGTTGAATGTTGTTGACCAGTTCTTTTTGGTACAGGGACTGTGTGTGCTTTCCATCTTCCTTTGCTGCATCCTAGGTCGTTCCATATTTTGAATCTTTCAAGATTACAATTTGAGGTTTGAATTTTGAGATCTTTCAGTTCAAGATATGCTGAGCAGGTTCTTCTTTTTTGGTTTTCTAATTCCAGGTCTTCACACATTTCATTATAATATTTTACTTTGTCTACTTGAGCTGTTTTTTGAAATATTTTGTCTAGCTCGTTGGCTTTGTCCTTCCATTTATTGTAGTACTCTACGATGAAGAGCAGGTTTCTATATTTTTCCAACCAAAAATAAGTAAGATTTTTTTAACCAGGATGAGATTCTTTAACCAGGACAAAGCCAAAGCACACTCACGGCCATTGATGGCGACTCTGTCGAAGAGGTAGAATTCCCTTCAGAGTGTAACTCTTAGTGGGAGTAGAAAGCCTGCCTTTTTGCAGCAGGGAAATTTGCAGAGTATAAAGGTGTTTACAGAAAGAAACTGTGTATTAATTTTAGACAGGTTTTTTGGGAAAATTTCCAGGGAAGCAAAATGAATAAAATCATTAAAATTCCTGAAGGGTGATTTATAACCTGTCAGTGCAGCCAAGACACATCTCTTGTTAGCATGATTGTCTTAATTGTTTGAAAATTTGAATGTAATTTCTATAAATTTCCATGACATAATGTTACAAATCTCAAGAAGCTTCTAATGTACTTTAATTTTTGTCTTTAATCTCTGCTTTCCTTTGTGTCTTCTCTTTACCTAGGCCCCCGATGGGCTTCCTGGAATATTGGTGTGTTTATTTGCATCAGATGTGCTGGAATCCATCGAAATCTTGGGGTTCATATATCCAGGGTCAAATCAGTCAACCTAGACCAATGGACACCGGAACAAATACAGGTAAGCCTTTTCTTAGGGAAAAAAAAAATCTTAAAATATTTAAAAACAACTTATCAATCTTTGACCTTTTTTTTTTTTTTTTTGCATCTGAAAGTTAACATTGAAGAGAAAGAAGTATGCTGAAAGGGCATGTGCCACATACGAGGGATACGCAGAAAACCCTGATATCCCCCCCGCCCCTCAAACTGTTTGTAAATTTTTTACAGAACAACTTTATCACCTTCAAAGTACTCTCCATTACACTTACTACATTTGTCAAATCTGTGATTCCATTCTTGCAAACATTCTTCAAACTGTTTGGATGGCTGACAGCACTTCCTTGTTTTTTCTTCACCTCTTATATGTTATCAAATCGCTGCCCTTTCATGTCCCTCTTCATTCACAGAAACAAAAAAAAGTTGCATGGAGTGGGATCAGGTGAGTCGGGTGCATGGAGCAAGTGAGGCATACTGGGTTTTTTTTGTTTTGTTTTGTTTTTTTCCAAAAACTTGCACACACAGATGGCCGCGTGAGCAGGTGCATTGTTGTTGTGACAAAACCAGGCCCCCATCTACCACAAATCTGGCCAGTTTTGTCACACGTTGTTACATTATATTTTCAGAACCTCTAAATAAGAAAGCTTGGTTAACAGTCTGACCTGGTGGAACAAACTCCAAATGCACGACAGGTCAACATTTTTGTCCATCTGGGAAGTTAGCGAACAACCAGAATGAGGTTTATCATCAATTGACATTTTATGCAGTGAGAAAACCACTTGTACACTTGAGTTTTTCCCATTGTGCTGTCCTTGTAAGCCGTTCAACATCACAACAGTTTCTGCAGCATTTTTCCTGAGCAGGAAACAAAATTTCACAGCCACACTCTCTTAAATCGACCTTTGCAACAAATGAGATTTGAGTGAATTGCTTTTATGAAAACATTCACTGTGACCAGAGAGAACCTTTTCAGGTGACACCTCTGGGTGTAGTAAATCAGAGTTGCTTGATGCTCGCCTCGCGGGGAAAAATGCATACTGCAAAAGCTCCGCTACACAATTCCTATTTGGTTGTTTGTTTTTTGTACCCCCTCGTATGTTTGAATTGTCACTTTGGATGGTTATTTCTTCTTGGGTCTATAGTAAAGTCAGTTTTTAATCTATTTTTGACTAAAAATGTTGGTTTTAAAATATTAAAGAATGAATTTCCTGTTTTTGTATGGGTGAAATTTGCCAATGTATATATTTTTCTTGTCAGTAGAGGGAGCTTAGGTAAAGATAAAAGAAAATGCTTCTGAATGGACTTGAAGGATTTTCATTTAAAAAGGCTCTGTCTGAAAAGCCAGAACCTACTTGCTAGAAGAGAGCCTAGTGAGAAATAATTCTAGTGATTGATGCTGGTTTGTTTAGAGTGATGTCACGTTGTCAGGGATGAACGTAGAATTATAAGGTTTGCTGAGTTTATAATATTTCAGTCTTAAATTTTTGATTTTGTACTTCACAACCCTCAAGGTTGGCTACTAGTATAAAATAAAATGATACTTTCTCATGGTATTCTAATGTAATTCTGTGAAATTTTTCCTAGTGTCCTTTTGAAATTTTCAGTATGAAGACTTAAATATATAGGGTATGTATTTTGCATATTATGTACATGTATGTTATATACATGCATACTCGAAATCAGAAACAACCAAAATAGATGTTGTGGATGAAGGTAGGGGTGAATAGATAGAATAAATATCTGCAGTTTATAAAGTTAAACATAATTTTATAAAGCTTCAAATTTCTGAACTTTTTACTGGCTAAAACATAAAAGGAAATAAGATACTGTATGTGTGTTCAAGAAACTGAAAAAACATTAGTTACATCTAGGAAGCAAAACTTAAAATATATGTACTTTTCATATGACGGGGGTCTTAAAATCTCTGTAGTAAATGTAACTAATTTCATGATTTTAATTCTAAAGAATATCCGAGGTGGTATCTGACAATATAACTCGGTGTTGCCGATCGATCATGAAGATCTTAAGCATTTTAATGGTTCATTTTAAATAAAGAGAAACCGTGGCATCCTTGGGGAAATCAGGTAGGACTCCAGAAGTCATATTTTTCTTAAGTAAGGTGTTGAGGTGTGACCAAGAAGGCTGTTTGAGGTGAGCTTTCTGCTGTGGGGCTGACATGCAGCTGTTCTGAGGTCAGGGCAGAATTTCTTAACCAAAGCACTTGATACACAGACTTATCATGGGGCAAGTGACAGGATACATCCCGAGATAGTGAATTACGTACTGTAATTGACTTGGTGGCAGGGAGTTTTTGAGTGAGTTAATCCACTGTGATGATATGGGTGCTAAATGTACTACTGAGTAAATAGACAAAAGATTCATTGCAGTAGTAGTAGTTTTCAATATAAATTAATTTTTGAGACTCTTTGTTAAAACAATTTAATGTTAGCAGCTATAGACGTTCAGACCTCTGAGGTAAATGGGTGGTCATAGCACTTACCCGTTAAGGGCGCTCCTCCTCAATGAGAAAAATCTTTAAAAATTGTGAGAAACAATCCTATTTTCTGTGGTTGTAGGTTTGTTTCAGAAATCCGTTGTTCATACCATGACATTTTATTTGGATGTGTTTTTTACATTAAGATTAATGGAAGTATTATAGGGAATATAATTCACAGATCTAAGTGAGTAAATTTTGAATTTTAGTAAATGTCTGTGCCAGCTAACAGCATCAGTGAAACCGTAGAGCATTTCATCACCTTAGAGAGAGTGAAGAGGACTTGAAGCACTTACAGATAGAGATCAAGGTATAGCTTACAGCTCAATGTAAAGAAAATAAAAATCCTCACAACTGAACAATAGCATCATGATAAACAGGAAAGATCGCACTTGTCAAAGATTTCCTTGTGCTTAGATCCACAATCAATACTTAGTGGAAGCAGCAGCCAAATAAAATGGTGTGTTGCATTGGACAAATCTGCACAAAACCTCTTTAAAGTGTTGAAGAACAAGGATGTCTATTTGTGCACTAAGGGGCCCCTGACTTAAGCCATGGAATTTATCATGCCTTCATATGCATGTGAAAGCTAAAAAATGAATAAGGAAGACCATAGAAGAATCCGTTTATTTGCATTATGGTGCATTTGAGGAATCTTGAAAGTTCTGTGTCCCGTCTGAAGAACAAAGCTTTCTTGGAAGAAGTACAGCCAAAAGTGAGTATGGTCAGACTTTGTCTCCCATACTTTGGACTTATTCTCAGGGGCAACCAGTTCCTCAAAAGGATGTCTGTCATGTGTGATCGGAGATCTGTGGGGGAAAAAGGAAGACCCTTGATGATGTGGACTGGCGTAATGGCTGCCAATAGGGGCTCAAACAGCAATTGTGAGCATAGCGCAGGACTGGGCAGTGTTTCATACTATTTTATGTAGGGTTGCTATGAGCCGGACTGATTTGATGGTACCTAACTATTAACAACAGAAAGACTTTCCTTGGGCCGTTTGCAGTCAGCTCCTCTGGTGGCAGCCCCCTACGCTGATTTCTGTCCCCTAAGATTGGGCTTGGTAAATGTGCCATTTTTTATCTTTCAGAATTGATGTTACTGAGACTGATTTTTAATTTAGCTCAGCAAATGTGATCACAGTATGTTTATTACACTGTTGTATATTTTATAAAGAATTTCTTTGATACAAGAAAGAGATGCCTGGGAGGGATGTGTAGAATTAATGAAATAGTTTTACTACAATAAGTTCTACTCTGCATCTTTTTCCATGATCACCACCAAGATTTCATGTTAATTATATTTCCAATTTTCAAACATGATACTTAGTTTTGGTTTGACCTATTAATTAGATCTTGCATTAGTAAATGTAGAAATGTGACTTAAAAACTATATCCAAACAAGCTATTAATCTAACGAAGCATCTTTTTGTAAGTCTGTAGCATAGGCCCCCAAATTTTTTTAAACTACTACCCAAAAGGGGATACCTTTTTCAGAAAAAAAACTTCTCAGCACCCCCTGGCATTTAGAAACATTTTCACTGTAGCTCATAATCCATGGTAAAGTATAGGCACCTGCTTTTGTAGCCCCCATGGGTTATTCCAGTGAGCCCAAGGGGTTGGTATTTCACACTTTAGGAAATACTTTTCTATATTACATAACAGCTGGCTTTCAATTGAAACCCCAATTATTTACATATGTATTTTGTATGTCTGATTTTTTTTTTAGTATCTACATTAGAATCACTGTGTACTTATTTTAAAAAGAGAATAATTTGGCTCTCCAAACTTAGTTTATTAGCATTGAAATATGGTAGTAATTGGCCTATAAAAAGAACACTTTATCATTATACAAGTGGTTAATGGTCATATTAGTAACATCTTTGATACTGGTTTGTCATTTACATTGCACATTTTGGAAAGGACCAAAATTTAAATACTTTTTAAAAAGTACAGCTTCATTTTTTATTTTGTACTGATTCATGAGCCTCAGTTAAAGATGGGCTCACACATTGTAGCAATTGCGAGACGAGGTTGCTATGTGTCAGAACCAACCTGACTTGGTCACATCTTTTTTTTTTTTTT